CCCCAAAACCCCAAAACCCCAAAACCCCGTATGGATAAATCTGGGTTGATTTTTAATTCTTAAATTACAGGATTTTGGTTCCTAACATGAAAAACAAACACATCATTCCCAGAAGGTAAGCCATCATATTTTGGGTGGTGCTTTGGCTTTAAAATCTATAATGTTGCCATAGATTACAGTGCAGTGACTCTGCCTGTAAAAACCGCAGGTTTTACTTCTGCAGAGACCACCAAGTCTATTCATGCAGAGGATGTGCCAGCAAAATGCATTACAAATGTCAAATTGTGATCATCCAAGATCTCACCGATCTCAGAACTGATGTCAAGGAAGTCCAGAAGCTAGTTGTGAGGTTTCAGGAACTGGCAACAGAGAATGGGTTGGAAGTATATCTTCCTAATATTGACAGTGTCATCAAAGATTATCAGGGAGACTTGACTGAAATTGAAAGAAAGATAAATGAAGCCATTGCTCATGATGATCATCAGCAATTTGACATTCTCAGATCTCAAATAAGAGAGTACGTCTCCAAATATCTTCAAATTTACACTCTCCAGTTGAGGGCTGTTTATCAGCTAACATTGGCACATAGGATACAGAATCACATGGCTGATCAACAAGTCATCAAAGATATCTTGTTCCTGTCCACCACTAGAAATGCAAGTAGATATGGCCTTCCGAGGGTCAGCGATGGTAAGCAACAGGTTTTACATGTAGAGTTTTCATCTGCTATCAAGGTAGAGCGAACAATTGAAACTGTAGTCAAGCATAATATTAAATTGATAGAGAAGAAATTTGCTTCTAAAGCAAAAGAAATTGAATATCAATGAAAAGATAGACTCTCAGAAGAATTCAAGGAGCGTATCCAGACATTGCAGGCTCAGAAAGAAGCCCAAGACATTGAAATCGAAGAACAGAAACAAGCTACAGAGCAGGTGCTCATGCAAGCTCAAGATATGCTGAAACAAAAATAGAGAAACTTTCACCCAAAATCAGGCTTTACAGAGCCAGATGGCACAACTTGAAAGAGAATTATCACAAAAAGTAAAACAGATCAAGCGTGTCAAGGCTCAAAATAAGAAAGATCAGGAAGGAATCTCCAAAATGAGTGAAGGTAAGTAAACTAAAAGATCATCACATAGCAATGGAAGAAAATATAATACATGTAGAAGAATCTAAAGAAATGGTCAGAGATCGTATCAAAAATACTTACAAAGACTTCAATCTTGATTCTACTGAGCTTGCTCTGGACATGGCAGAAGAAAATTCTCAGAAATTAGTAAAGGCAATGGGAGAAAGTAAATGCGCTCTTGGAGACATGCACAAGCTAACGATTGACAGAATGGTCAATGAAGATACTGATCTCAATGAGTTTATGATTTACTCATCTCCTTCCTCACTCAATCTCTTTGTCTTCAACCATAGCTTTCTAGGAGGAGGCAAAGCAGTTAGAATAAAGTTCTACCTGAAAGGCCTGAAGAAGATCCTTCAGAGAGTGACTGAGGAGGTATACTTGGAATGCTTGGTGATCAATGAAACTGACTTAAGTAAAATAGTCAAATGGTCGTCCAATGCAGAGAGACTGACGGTTAGATATAGCAAAATTTCAACTTCAGCCTCTCTTGATTTCTCCTCCTCTGGCCAATCCAAGCTCAAGTACCTCAGCTTCTTCAACTGAGGCTACAGTGACTGGTGTAATATGAGGTGGGATGAGTCTCCAGAAAAGTTCGAACAGATCATTGTTGCAATTAAGAACTCCTCCCTCAAGGACTCCCTCACCCACATCAATGTAAGGAGATGAAACATATCACCTTCTAAGGTCTCTGAATTGCTGAGTTCTCACGGGCTGTCTCACATCAGTGCAATTGATGAAATAAACGGCCCCTTAGATGATTAATTTGATTCAAGTTGGAATCAGAGTCTGGGGTTTTGGGGTTTTGGGGTTTTGGGGTTTTGGGG